CGGCGCCAATCTTGCTATGTAATCTGATCGATCACCCTAAGTCCAGGAGTTCATGTCATGGCCATAACTACAGCTCTTGTAACGTCTGATATGAGGCTGATGTGGTGGACTAGTCGAAAACCACGAGGGCATTGATAAACGACACTTGAGCCAAGATGGCTACTCGTCACAGCAACACTACCAAACATTATATGAGGCTTCAGATCAGAACCTCTTCTTCACACTATAAAGGGGATCTCACTGCGCCCCTTATCGCTGGAAAATAGGAGGCAAGACCCTGCTCTGTGGTATGGAATTCTGATGTTGCGTGAGTGGATGCACCCTTTTGCCAAGGGCAATCTAATCAACCACAAGAAGGAACCTCCCAGCACTATACATCGACTGACGTCTGGGATGCTGCTGCATCGCTGTGCCAATCCTGCGTAGGACACAATAGGTCCATCTAGGCCGAAGGATTCCCGCAGCTAAGCTTATGATGGAGATAGTCCACATGGGTTGCTCAGTTTACTCAGGCCTTTGCTGCCGTCTTGTAAGGCATTCTCCTGCAATTATATCCAGTGTGGCAATCTCGATGGGCAAATCACTAACAGACGAGATCGTCAATGAAATGGACAATCCCTCCGGGATGATTACACCCTCCTCGCTATGACTACGAGGGTCGAGCTTACTCAATGACTTTCTCTCGCGCGAATTCCCGACTACTCTCGTTCGCCATGACATAGTATTTCGAGCGGAGACTTCATTTCCTCAGTAACATTTCCGCATGCGGTGATGCATCAGGCGATGAATCTCTAAGACCGTTGGGGAAACTGATAGCAGCTTGTGCTGTGGACCCTCGATATGCAAGTGTGATGAACGCTGTGTCAAACGATCGGTGAAACTTTGAGGGAAATTGGAGTGCCACTGGACCAGACATCACGGAATTTCTATTGAAATTCATATCCCCAAAAAGTGACAAGGCATGACTTAGTGAATTTAACTCTCAGCTTTCGTCCACAATAATGATTATCAACATCCTTCTCGTAATTGCTGGCACTATGGCTGGGCTGACTGAGGCGAATTACAAATATTACTGCAATTTTGCAGACGATTTGTCAGCTAAGTGCCTTGGTAAATATGATAAGTATTCGATACGCGTGATTTCGGAGCACAAGGCGATAGAGAGCCGTCGCCGCTCGCGTGATCTGGTCGAGTACGTTACTGAGGTGTGCCCTGTCGGAAAGGCCGTGGAGGGTGGGGCACAGGGCTCACTACAGATGAGCAATGAGGAGCAGTGTGACATTCCCGTCTTGCGAGGTGCAACCATAAAATACGACAAAACCCCAGGGAGCAAGCTTCTTGGTAGATCTACAACATACAACGTGTTCTACCCTGATGATCAGGGCCTAGCCAGATCAGGGCCTGATCTGGCCATGTCGTACCGTTTCGATATTCTCAAGCCCATTCCGATGGCTGGTCTGGATCTGTCTCACAGTTCACCTGGGACGTCAATTTTTGCGACTTTTACGAGCCACAAACCCCAGCGTTGGAAAGTGGAGCTGATCAGTCATCCTGTTTTAAGGGTGGAGGCGAAATTCTACTTGGAAGAACCTCACAGCCGCTTCACTGAGCTGAAGTTGATCGCAGTAGATAATGGAATAATGAAGCTCACATATACTGGACTGAACAACACCTCGGCACCGGTACAAGCTTTCTTCTTCCGATTACCTTCTAAGGAGCCTCTATATGGGCCGGGCCCATATTATGGGGTGATGATAACTTATAAGACTGACCCCATTATGTTGTTCGATAAAAGAATGCCTGTGAACGGGAGGTAAAGATACACTATCTATAATGAATACACTATTGTGTGTAGGCCACTTCAAACCACATCTCGTCCTCGTCGAAATCGGCAGAGAAGAGCCCAACGGTAAGTCGTTAATGGTGTACATCTGGCCTAGTTAGCATGTTGTGAGATCGAGATGGCAATAGAACTATAGGGATAGGCATTTCACTGTGTAGTAGCGGACGATGCCTGAGGCACTGTGCTTTGATGTCTTCGTCAGTCGATTTGATTCATCGGTTTTAATAAAACCGTTTTATCTCAGAGGTGCTGCTGGAGATAATCAAATAGGAGGTGCTAATGCGAACGACAACCCACCAAGGTGACTCTGAGATTCATCATTACCATAACTACAGCTTGTCAGTTACGATGAGCTATTCCCTCCGCCACCAACTTATTCCCCATAAGAGCTATGCATATTCCAATCCGGTTAACTTGATGAATGGCTACAATGCTTCATGTTATGTTGTCGTTGTTGTGTATATGCGAGTTTCGTTTTGTGTTTTTGACGAGTTAGGCGACCCACGAACCCGCCGCTCTCCCATTCAAACTTCGGCAAACAATAGGGAAACTTCCTCAGTGCAGAATATAGCTGTATCTACTATACCTTTTCCCGATCATTTCTAAGAATTGGCAGTTCAAGATAATATATTACTGTCTCAATTTCATTCTTTTACAAATCGATTTCGACGACAGATAAGTTAACTCACTGAACAAAACAACCGACGGTGCTCCCGTTGAATACGAGGCCAGTTGTGCCACATATGACAGTAATGATTGTGGACAGGCTTCACTCGCCTACGCATCTTGTTGAATATCCACCATTCGCGAGGATGTGTCATCATTGCATAGTTCAGGTGGAGGTACTTCAATTATTGAATAAGGAGATCGGACGGGATACTTCAATGGGTGACCCACGCTGACTCAGCATCTCATGGAGGTGGCGAGGAGTTTCTGGGAGATGGATCTAAAGTGTTCAGCATGTGCTAACCCCGGTGATATAGATGCCAATGGTCTGCCAAGGGAAGGTACCATTGACTGCCCACTAATTGGTCCCCATCCTGGGCCGCCCTTCGCGGCGTTCTAAGGCTTAGAGTCTAAGCCATGCTGACTGCCTGTCAGACGTTCACGAGGAACAGGCAATTCTTGTACATCGCGATGCCGCTGGCCTCTATCGTATTGATAGAGGCAGCAGCAAGAACGAAGGGCGCCACTCCGTCTAGGTCCGAGAAGCGGCGCTGTTATCACGAATTGGAGGTCGAATGATGAGCACCCGGCTGCATTAGAGAGCAACTTACGCCAACAGATCCTGGCAACGGTCCTAATCCAGTCACGATAGCAGATATAGTAAAGGAATGGCTTGTACAATCCCCTAAGTGTAAGTCCATAACATCTGCTCACACTTACGACGAGTCTGATTTAGGTGCATCCACGACTCGTGGACCACGAGGGACGAGACGGTGATCGATGATCTGGCAGTGATCCGAGCCAATTGTCCGGATGAGTTAGCGGGGATCACGGCCGAAGTCATGGGTCAGCCAACATTGGCCCCAGCCTTTTCTCCGAATCAAATGGGGGCATCTCTGGATAAGGGACCGATACTGATTCCTGGCGACGATTTGAATGCCACCGGAGGGAAGCCCGATGGTATCACCAGTCAGGGGAATGCTATTGATGGTGGTCGATGCCAGCTTGGCGGCCAAGTCTGAGACCTTCAGTACCGTAGGAGTCGACCTTTATGGTCCCTCAAATGCATCGAAGGGTGGGTTTAGATGGATCCTAGTCTGTGCAGATCTATTGAGTCGATATACCGTATTGATACCTCTGAATCAGAGGCTCTGATCACAGTAACCACAGCCGTGGTATGCTCTGCTATTGAGCGTAATACTATTCTCGTATTCCGTGCGCCGGAACACATAATATCTGATCAAGGAGGCCAGTTTGTGAGAGTTATTCCTGTGAGAGTTATTATACTGGACAGCATTGGCTGTACTCATAAAATGAGGCATATTACTCTGCCTTTGCGATATCCCAGTAGTGGAGGATTTAATGAACGCCAAAATCGTACTCTGAGTGCAGCTCTTCGGACCGAAGAGCTGCACTCAGACCGAAGACTTCGGTCTCTCCTATCTCAACACCAAAGTCTTGATTGGTATGATGTATTGGCTTTGGGCCAGCTACGTATAGATACTACATTGCACCCTGAGTCAGGGTCCCTGACCTAGGTGTTTCTCCCCACGAAATTGTATTTGGTATACCACAATTATTCCCTCTAACTTCATTCTCGACACCGCGAAGTATGTCTGAGGAGGATGTTGAGGATTTCTTGTGTTTCCAAAATCGGTATCGTCGAGACGCTGTCATAGAAGTGTGTGAAGACCTTCGTAAGAAACGTGCTCGACAACTTCGTGCCTGGATTGACGAGTGGACTAGAGCGAGGGCGAAATATGATGAATGGGATGCAAAATCTCCAACTACTCCTTCTCCTACGACCCTCCTCGATGTTGGCTCAAGAGTTCTGCTCCTGAAGTCTCCGAGTCATGAGCTCGACAGCAAATGGGCTCCGGAGGATATGAAGCGACCAGTTGGTAAAGTTTGTTATGAGATTAAGTTGGAAATCTCCCCATTGAGCCAAATGTATCATAAAGATTATGTCAAATTGTATCATGAAGCTGATCCTGATATTGGTCCTATATCAAGGAGAAAACAGTCATTCAATCGTCAAGGGGGCATTTAAGCGAAGATATTGGAGAATCTCCGCTGCCAAGAAGTCGAAGATCACAGAACCTTCTGGTTCAAGAGGTTTTGATCCTTTTGACATCTTTTACACTTACTGGTTTGAGAGTCCCCGATGATGACTCACCATTGATGAGCGGCTCATCAATGATGAGTCATGAGCCGAGATTAGGCATTGTTCTTGGTCGAGATATTAACGATGAAGTGGTGGTTCATGAACACCGTATTCGAGATTACCCTACTATCCCTCCATGGATAGAAGATAATGGTACTAGGCCTTCGTGACGAAGGGGCGGAGCTCGGCATCCGGGTTCGATTCCCATGCCTGGCGTTTTTCTGCAAAAATATGTTTTTTGCACGGAAATCTACACGGTCCGGGCGGAACCCTAATTTCGTATTTTTCCTAGTATTCCCAGAGCGAGAGCTATCGAATGGTGTATAGCATGTGATCATATCCTCTCTAGATCGAGCTGGATAATTTGTTCGCACGCACGCACGCACGCACAAAGTGTTAGTAAAGTGAGAGAATACGCTCCGCTCGCTTCGCTCGCTCCGCAATTATTAATGAAGGAGGTGCAGCCACTACAAAGTCAGCTATTGTAACCGTTGAGCCGAAGAATCTTTTCAGACTTACTACCATTGAGTTGCCCAGTTGCACGTCCATACTTATAAGAACATCTATCTACCTCAGCGACAATAATCTAACACTTCCTATCATATTGCCCTGTAACTCAACAAAAGGCAAAGATGGAGTCTCAGTTTATTCAACGAAGCGTTGTATACCATAGAGATCATAAGATCGACTCATGACGAACGTTCAACTGGTAACAGAATCGAATTCTGGGAATCCGTCCAACAGACTCCTCAGCGCACGCAGTACTGACCATCGGCCCCATCTTCAATCGTCACCGTGAGCACAGGCCCGAGCACATGGACCAATTTATGGGGTCGAATGGAATCAAATAGGGTCAGAAATGTAGACGGAATCGATCCGACGATGACAGAAGAAAGAATGATGACTATGGAGCGTCAAGATTGGGGACGATAGTAATAAACCTTTTTAATATTCGGCGCACATTTGACGGTCAAATGTAGGCGATCTGGTGAAATTTGGATCACATCATCGAATGGGCCATTGGCTCCTCAGCTCCTTGACGAAATGACAATTTGTTAACGCTGGTTACAGCAATCACACGCCCCGCTACATTGTGCAATTAGAGCCCAACAAACGGGCCCGCCACAGCAGAGGTAGATCCAGCAAGCCTGGCACGCACCGCAAAGGTTGTCAGAGTGCGCTCTCCTTCTTGGACTAGGCATGGTACTAACAGCATCATCGCCATCCTCATAGACATCCCTGTGATCGTCAGTTCCCTCCACAGTGATATTGAATGCACTCTGATCGTTCATTCTGTAGTCGCTGCCTAGGGTAGCAACGACAACCCACAGGATGATGAAGAGTCTCAGAAAAGGATAAGGCATCACGAAATTGGAATGATCTGCACAAAATTCCCCAAGATCTCGCTTGCTATCGGCAGAAAAATATATTTAAATAATGATAACTGTGATATGATATGCC